AATCTTTTTTCAAATCAGGTTAATTTATTTTTACTTGATTTTTTTGAGTTCCTTTGTTTGTTTAGATAAAATCTTGACAATACCTTTTGATCCCTTTTACCTAAATATTCTTGAAATTTTGCCACACAAAAGTGGTACCAAATATTGCAGATATATAAAATTATTTGCAATGACAAATATAATACCCAACAGCGGCGTTTTCAATAGTCGATAGAATTTGTTACATTTAATGTTAACTTTCTCTCACTTTCTCTTGATTAGGGATCAAACTAATTACTGCATAATTTTCGTCTTTGCATCATCAAAGAATAACTTTTATTGGCAGTGTTTTCGAAATTTCTGACATAATTTACCAAATTTTGAATCCAGAAATTGATTACTTATTTCATTATTTTTAGCAACTATGGACTCTCAAGAATAACAGATTTTAAAATCTAAAATTAAATCCATTATTGTTATGAACGCGATAATTTTATATAATACTTGATCAATTTAAAATTTAGGAATTTTAACAAATTGAATTTGATCTTAAAGCCATCAGATATAAAAGACCTTGAAGGGGGTAAGACACTTTTTGGTATGCTGATGGGTATAAACTAATTTCCCTATATTCAAGGGCAATTTTTTTCTTTGCTATTTTTATTCTATTTTTGCATAAAAAATATAACAGAAGATATATGCAAAAAAGGAAATATATTTTCTTTACTGAAGTATATAAACGAGTAAATAAGATGAAGTTTTTAACTATTACAATAATCTTTATCATAAGAGACAAAAAATAAAATCGTGGAGCAGCTAACAATGATTGATATTAAATCAAGAAGTGTAACCCAGACGGTAGAGTGGTTAGGGGAGCCTACTACGGTACTCAAGGGCCCGGATTCGAATCCCGGAGAAGACATGGATGTTTGTAAATGTATAGTGCGGTACGGCATGGCAGCACTTTAAATATGCGGCGAGCCGAAAGTCCTCTCGTGTGGATTGGTGGAAGGAGAGAGAGGTGGGAGACTCCCCCGGTTTCCTCCGGTGTTTTCTACCTGAAAATTGGGGGTTGAAAATAGAAGTCTAACCTCTCTTTGGAGTAGGTTCTGGCAACCATTGTTCCATGTAATATGGACAAGGCAATTTGTGCAACAACAATTTCTAAGCTATAGTCTTTATTGTTCCATAAAATTATGTTAATGTTGCAATGCAAGTCATGCATGGTACGTCAGTACGCCACAAATATATTTTTCTTCACAATGATCAAGATTATTGCGATGTCTAATATATGTGCTTTACTTTCAACTTCGTTTAACTGGCCCACCAGCGGCCGAGCGGTAAAGTCGCTGAACACTGGTAGTTCGGTCCGAGGTTCGAATCCCGCGAACGGGCTGGCTGCATGGGTGTTTCCGTGGTTTTCCCCATGTGTAACGTGTATACGATCCAGTTTCCCTCAGAATGTCCTCCACGAAGGCATCCCTCCCCTTAGGCAGATAGCTTTAGTGTGCTTTGCCATAATTAAATATACCACCACATTTAACTAATATAAAGCTATGCAATTTAAAAATAATTTTATGGATTTTTTGTTATCTGATAACTATATTTTTCCAAAATATAAATTTTATCTACTTGTTGGAAAAACGATGTGTTTCACATGTGTTTGTCGTGCAGACTCTATAAAACCATAGTTTTTAAAATACAATATATATTTTTAATTAATTATGATAATTAATCTACAAATCAGATCATTGAAGAATAAATTATCTGGTTTTATCTCTCTAAACGTTTCAGATTCACTAATAATTTTGTCTTATGAGTGTTTATTAAAGTCTCTTTAATTTTCAAGTTTGATGAATCGGCTTTAAATTAATCATTAATTGAGTGATTAGCTTTTTAAGTATAAATAGCAATAAAGTAAATAGCAATCAAGCATTCTATTTATTACATATATTAATATAAAAAACAGCAGAAAATGTTTGGGGGAAAGAAGCCGTGGCTTTTAATCTTTTTGGTTTTAAAATTGAAATATGATACAACTGTTCACGTTAAAAATTAAAAATTAGTAGCTAGACTGTCTAAGTTGGTAAAAGTCTCTCAGATATTTTTTAAAAAAGGCAAGGATCTTATTAAGTGCAGTTGTAGGGAGGGGGGAGGAATGAATAACGTTTAGATTAATTAATATGTGTAGGTATATAAACGTGGCTGTTCTTAAAGTCCAGCATTTCTTTCATCTGGAATTTAATACTTCATTTATTTTTAAAATGACAGCTATGTAAATTTAGTAAATGATTAACACCGCTCTTCCATTGTTTTGTACTATCATTAATCTTCCACTGCTTTTAATGCCATTCTATCGACTTTTAGTAAAGTTATTAATCTAAACCTGAAGAGTAAGGTATCGAATTATGAGCAAGCAAACAGTAACATTTTAACTATTTTAAGTCAAAATTTTTATTTGATTACATACAGATATAATAAAATAAGTCTAAAATTATAGTTTCATATTTATATTTTTATCTATTTTCCCTTTCTTATACGAAATAAATGAAGTATCCTTGTAGGAAATATTGTAATCGCGAAAAACATGGCCATTTTGATCTTTCTCGAATCCATTTGAACGATGTTTATGCGTGACATCTGTACAAAAACGGTTGTAAAATGGATTTTAGATGCAGTCAGAAGGAATTTTTTTGGCGTCAGTACGTACGTATCTTCCATGCCTCAAAAACGATTAGCCTTAGAAAGTTTAAATTTTGCATTATAGGACTGATGTAATATTCAGTTGTGCACCTCCCTTTTTTGCTGCAATCGTTCTCACAAAATGTATATATATGTATAGATATATAAGTGAATTTTAGATCATTAAACATTATATATATATATATTGTTACGAAATGTACAGGCGCGGTAAGATAGCTTCCCCGCAAAGCAGTTTCAGGGTTGCCATAAAATGGCAAGGGAAGGCAGTGTTGCCACATTTGGCGAGAAATCGCTCGTTTGGCGACAAAGTTGGCGATATACCATGACGGATGGAGAACCTTCTGGAACGAATTCTTACCGGTTTAGCCCAGAATGTTATCGAACACAAGCCAAAAGCTACATAATATAGCATGCTGGTCTGCAGTCAGTTAGTGTGAGTGTGTGCCTCGTCTAGCGAGCTGATAATCAGTCATTGAGCAAGTGTCTCGAAGTCTAGCGCCGAGTTGGTCGTCGAGTACATCGAAGAGTCTGTTAGGGTATGGCGGTTAGTGCATCGTCGAGAGAGTGTGTTAAGCTCCGGAAACGACTGAACGGAAGAGTCGAGAGCTGTGCTCTGTGTGTCGTCGAGTGCATCGCGAGTTGTAGCGTGGAGAGTCTCGAGAGTACGTGGAGTTTCGAGAACGACGGAGCAGTCGGGAGCTGTACTCTGGTGCTTTGCAGTGAAGCTGTCTCCCCCGTTATTGCCTGTCAGTATGAAGGCTGTGTCGCTAAATGTTCCAGCATGTTTAGTGTAGATCTTCGACAACTGTAAAAGTGTTTTGGAGCTGTCCTGATTAATATTGGCAAATAAAGTGTGTTTCGATACTTCATCAAGTGTCATCGTTATTAACTCCAAATCCGAACGAACCCCGTACGATCATGAAGGAAGAAAATAAAGTAACAACTGGTGTCAGAAAAAAAAAAAAAAGTAACAATATATTTATGTAATGACCAGCAGGAATTTTGATGGCGCAGAAGTCTTGATCCATAATGAATACGAAATTGGAGGCGAAGGCAGATTAAATCTCATTTTTTTATTTCAACAAACATGTTGCTGCCACAATCAAGTTGCCATTATTAATTTTGAGTGTTCCAAAAAGCTTACATTTTAGATAAATTTGCAATAAGATAGAAAGAGCAGACAGACAGCAGTCCAGCTAGACCAAAGCTTTGAAAGCAAGTGCGTTATGTTCATGGTGAAATCTTAATTCAGACTGAGTTAGTTTTGGTTTTCGATGCATTTTGATTGAAAAGTTAATATTGCTATAAAATTACTATTCGCTGTTAGAGTTTTAGTTCTATTTACATCATCAAAATTACGTAAGAGTCAGATGACATGGATTAGTCTCGAAATAACGCAATGCAAATAGAGGTTACTATTTTTAGAATAGAGAAGGGAAATTAATTTACGCTGTTAATTTAATCTTTTACATATTCTTTATTTTTCTTACACACACACATATATAAAACAGACATATATAGAGAGAGAGTCCTTAAAAGTCCTAATAGTCCTTACAAGCCACCTGGGCGTCGGGACACCCTGGGCGGCTTATAAGGACTATTCGGGTATCGTCCAGAATCCTCAACTGTACAACACAAGAACTGTCTTTCCCAGAATCGGGCGTCGGGAGCCTAATGAAAACTTTTGACTGTACACGGCCGTATAGGGGGAAGGTAAAGTATTGAACGGTATAAATTGCAGTATTAAATACTAAACTAAGAGTTGACTCAATAAATATATCGGCGCGTCAGGATTAAAATACCAGCGGTGAGAGGACCGCAAAGCCAAATAATTACAACCAGTAGAAGTGGCAGAAACTAACTACGTAGCTCGCAAATCTCAGAAACACACTCCGTTTCAAATCCAAAAGCATCAGCTTAAATATTCACAACTAATTTGCATTCTGGCGAGGAATATAGAAAAAAGAAGTTATAGTAAAGACTGAAATTATAATAACTGGTTGATTACTATAAGATACCATATAGTTTAATAATTGCTCACTGACTGAAAGATTCTATAATTAAATTTTTTTACATTCAGAGGCTTCGTGCCATTTCTGTTTCTTTTGTTATTTTATTTTATATTTCTTTTAGTGCAATGTTTATTACAATAACTCACATAAAATCTGAATGACACATAATGTCTGTTGATATCAAAATATTGTGTAAAATTTAAATATAATCTGTAATAAAATATCCTAATATGATGCTAACATTTATAGTTTTCGTTAATCTTGAAATATATATTTAAAGCATATTTCTTTTAAATATAAACTTACCGTGTTTGAACAATTGGAGGTCCTGGGCTGTCTTCATGTCCTTTCCTGAAATAAATAATAATAAAAAATTATATCACTTACTGAGAGGACATAGATATCATTCAAATATGTATATAATTTGCGCAAATAATTAAAATTTGATAAAATAATTTGTTAATGATAATTTAATTTATGTTTTGGTAATTTTGAGAAGTAATGTATGAAAAAAATTCTCTCGTTCCTGGGGAGGGGAATATAAACAAAACGTAAAAGGAAAAGCTGAGATAAAAAAGAAAATGAAAAGTATTAATATTTCGTCAAAATAAGAAAGAAAAAAAGGGTTATTAATTTTGTTTTGGCATTTTGCGTTGGTTCACTTTTCAAACTGTTGCCACCAAATATTTACAGCCCTGTATTATATTTAAAGAAATGAAATAATGAAGAATCTGCATAAACGTATGTATGTTTCTCGCATTGTGATAAGAAACAACGGTACCTAGAGCTATCCAATTTTGAATCATGTAATTCTACTGCGAATATGGGCATCTGAAAGCCTAAATTTGAAACTTGGAGTATATTTTATTATCGATTAAATTTCATAATTTGTAAAACTTAAACTTGTTACCAATTTTTGATTAACAAACTCAAAGATTTAAAAGCGAACAAAGGCAAAACCTTTTTACCTTAAGTTACATATAAGGGCTGCTTACAATTACATATAAGGTTGAATTACAGTACCAATTATAGTTATACAGGGACTGAACTCAAATAGCGCCATATTATTGCCAAGTTGAGACTTTTGGCGACTTTTTGCTAAATTTCGCCAAAACCATCGCCAGCAATTCAGCGAGATAGCCGTTTACCTCAATGTTAAATAGATTTGCCACTGTAATGTTATTTTTCCTGCAGAGCTTCGTCTCTTCAGGCATTGCATATTACATTATGCAAAAGATACTATCATTTTACATATAATTTGACTAAAATTATTCACATATATACAAAATTCGTAACAATACTACAGTAGTTCGTCCGTTGTTCATCTGCCGACGAATAGACTACTGTTTTGAGTGGTTTTTCCATGTAATGTGAATATAAGCCAGCTTCATTTAGAATAATGTCCAGAAAGGCGCCCTTTTTAAGGCACATAGCCCTCATATGCTTTGATGTAATAATTCAATAAATTAACCAAGTCATCTTTTAGAGAAATATTAGAGATATTTAGAGAATGATATAAGTATACAATTTAACATGACCTTTGTATATATATTTTTCTTTATATACATATGCAGACACACACAAAAAAGAAAAAAATAAACTATTCTAACCATTAACTAGCAGAATTCTAAATTAATAACTTGTCACTTTAAACTTCCTTTTAGCAATTATAGCAATTCTTACTCAGTTTAAATTTACCCGTCTGCTTGCGAAGATTTCTCTATGACTCCTAAAGAAAACCGAGTACTTTCTATCATTACTTAAATGTTAAGATAGCTGAATTAATAAAAAATTCATAATACATTTTTTTTACAGTTCATTGTTCTCTTAGCAAGACTGAGTTTTCTTACATGTTGCGGCAAACCTTACATATAATTTCACGTAATTTGCCTCTCTTTTTAATTTGCTGTAAAAATTGTCTATCTTTAAAAAAAAAAGTCAGGAAAACGCTTATTTTGAAGGAAAGATCAAACTCATAAATGCGTTCTTAATTAAAAATCTTTTAAGTTTAATAACAGCATTTTTAAGTTAATAACACATGGACAGCATTAATAATAATTCCTATGCCTATAACGTAAAAGGTACCTTGAGAACTAAGTTTTGCCATTCAGATGTGTTTTAAGAAATCAGAAAGAGTTAAAGATCAAATCTGCTGATGTTTTTTCAAAATGGAAATTTAACTTTTGGTTTATACAATAATTCGGCATTTATGCGCAAATGGAAGTAAATCAAGTGGAATAAAATACATCCTACCTTGTAGAGTCATTAGATTATTTCGAAGCAGGAGAGATGAAAAATGAGCAATGACCTCGCCGGGACTCGAACTACGGACCTCTGGAATACGCGCCCAACGTGCTGACCACTACACTACGAAGGCATGCTAAGAAGGCTCGAGAAATACCTTATATACTCCCCCTCTTAAAGGGCGACTGGGGTTTTTAGGGAACCCAATGGCCAAATCCGGGGTGTGAAGAATCATCATCCACCACCCTTTTAGTTTGGCGCCACTGTAGAGACATTAGGTACTGTTTGAAAGCAGAAGTGATGAAAAATGAGCAGCGCCTTCGCCGGGAATCGAACCACGGACCTCTGGAATACGCGCTACACCACGAAGGCATGCTAAGAAGGTGGAAGAAATACCTTATAATATATACAATAATTCGACATTTATGTTCAAGAATGGAAGTCAAAAGTAAATCAAGTGGAATAAAATACACCCTATCTTAGCATAAGAAGCAAGTATATGCTACAACATTTTTATAGTAATAACAATAATACTAATAATGATAATAACATCGTAGTTTTATTATTCAGTAATGGGAAATTCAAACATGCTTCAAGAATCAGAATCCAACTAAGGTGTTCAAGGAATCCGAGCTCAAGCTGTATGAACCAACGAGTCAATAATCTTTAAAAAGATAATCTTCCAATATTTAACGGATGTTGGAAAATAAGATGAATTTGCAGCCATGGATAAGAAGCAACAAGATCAAAATAAAGCCACCCGTATTCATTGCTGGCTCTGTTAAAATCTAATGTTCTGCCGTGACATTGGGACCATACTCTCAGACTAGCAACTTTTCGATACAATTGACCTCTAATCCCGACAGTTGCACGCTTACGCAATCTCCACCCATAATAAACCAATCTGTTTACATCAGACTTCAGCCGTGGGCATTTTCATGTACACAGTCGCATATATAAATAAATACACATGCGTCTCACCCTTACCCTATGATTTTTCACCTGTCATTGTTTCTAGACGCCCTACCCCGTCTTCCTATTCCGTCTTCTATAGCTTTGCAAGAAGTTGTGTCAAGAGTTCTTCCCTTTGCCGTTGCCATTCACGCACAAGGTATCATTTTCGGCGCTGTTCTTCTCGCTGCAGGCGATTAATTGTAACTGATCGTGCAATTTTGTTACAACTTGTATTTTCTCAGCAAGATATAATTACGAACCTAGTCAAGAATGCATCTTTTCAAAAACGAATTTGTCATTGTTACATAGAGGTATTCGCCCTTAGCTATAGAGGAGAATACTGTGTCCTTAGCCTAGTGACCCTGCATTTCGAGAATTAAGGGCGAAGGCTCATACTTTAACAGGAATAGTACTAAATTGTTGATATGGTGCATCATTGTATTAAAAAACTGATAAATGGATAGCTATTTATTTTAAAGGTTTGATTTTAACGGACGTCGGTTCTAAGAGACAGATTAAATTTTATTTTGCCGACGAAATTTCATTAAAAATGATCATAGTAACTCTTGCTAGCCATAACTAAAATTTCATTTTTAATTTAAAATCATGTACGTGAAATTAAATTTTACAGTTTTTCATTTTAACAGAAGTTAGGAAATTTTATCCAATTTCTTAAATTTACTTCTTCCTCTCTTTAAAATCTTCCAAGCCAGGAAAAAGGAAAGCAACGAAAGAAATATCATTTGGATGACACATAGTTCTTGATTTAGTAGCAGACATTTCAAGAAGCGGTATGTTGAACTTCTAAAATGTTTTGTTTCTTGAAAATCGAATTGTTTTTAAAATATTGCATTTTAATCCTGGAAGTAGAGCTATCCAAAATATATTTAATCAAGTATAATATTGGGTCATATAAAAAAGTCTCCGCTCTTTTGGCCAAGTCTAGTCGGTCGCCCTTTCTGGACTGCTTCCTTCAAACGATCGACTTGTGTACAGTACAGGACTGATTTGATGGTTTCGCCAGGTTGCAGCAGCTCATAATGGACAATTCCCTTCCAATCTCGACATCGAAATTTCAGGAATGGAATCAAGCAAACCATTGCTGGGTCCTTCGTTCACACCGAGTATTCTCACGGTATACTTCAAAAAAATTTCGGCATGTTTTTGAAGCGTTTTTACCTTTTTTATAGCAAAAAAGCATGATATATCGTATTTCTTCAGATATTTCACTCATTTTTAAATTAATATAACTTTTGATACGAGCAACAAATTAGAAAACTATCTTCACAAGCAATGGAAGCTGGATATCACCTTCTAAGCACATGGTCGATGACGGGTGAGTGCTGCCGGATATATAGGCATCAATACCATCTAGTGGCTAAAAGGCGAGGAGACTTTTTATGTGTGGGTTTTTAATGTGGCCAAGACGATAAGTTAAATTAAGCGCAGGACAGACCTTTAAGCATCAGTGCATTAGCACATTGATAAGTTAAAAAAAAAGGGGGAAACACGCTACGGGTATATTTTCATTTCAGCAGTCCAACTAACATTCAGCAGAAAGTATTCGTTTCGTATTTCAAAATTTATTTGCATTCCTTTATTCAGAAAGTATTAAAGGTTAAGAAAAGTAATTTATTAAACCAAAATATGCTTCAGAAAATGGTTGATATTCCTTTCATTCAAGTCAGCAATCCTCACTAATCAACAAACTAAATTCAGTTTTTCGTGCTTACAATGATTATAATAAACTAGTTCCAGAAATTCTTTCATGCGAGGTTTGGAAGATGAAGGTAACATTTTATGCGTAACAAGCTGCCTAAGCGACCTACAGCCTCTTATTCATGACATCATTAACTTAATTAATGAACTATGCATACTATTCAGCTCATCAAGATTTTAAAACAATATAACATTTTTCATGAAGAAAGGACGGGGGAACTGCACTTGTTAACAGAAAAGACTCAGAATCCTGACTAACAATATGCACGCCCTAGCTGACACTGCCGCATCGCAAAACGCCCGTCACACAATCGCCGAAGACGGGCGGGACGCACTGTGAAAAAAGTGAAACGTCAAGTAAAATTTCTAAGACCCCCCTCTTTCCCAATTAGTTCTCCTCTGTGGGTGGGATCATGGTGAGTGAAAAAGACTGG